ATTGTTTATAACCACAAATGCACCACACGGGACTACATCGGAGTATTCCACATGTGGAGCAGAAGCCATATCGAGAACAACAATGGTAAAAGTCTTTATCTGCAACCATGTAATAGTTATCGTCATTAGACTTGGTGAATCCCCATATGAGTTTGTTGCGACTGTCAAGCCATGTGGAGTATCGTCTAAAGTTATTGTCATTGTTATTGTACTTGTGTGTTGGAAGTGAGTGTATTCTAGCAAACTCACTCACAAGTGTTGCTGTGCATTCTTCATTACTTCCAAGTAATAGTAACATAATTTCACGCTCATCATGAATAGCATAGTAAACGTTGTCAATTTGAGTCGGCTTTACGTCGGTGACTTCCTCATAAGAAATCCATTTAAGCGTATATGTATATTCAGCCACATAACTGGATTGGATCAAGTTGCCAATGGCAGGGTTATTAACAGTCTCTGATGCTAACGACATAGTAATAGTTAAAAATTTTTTTGTGCTACATTACACGTTGCAGACGTTTGCATTACCGTAGTTTGGTTCTGCAGGGCAGATCTATTTATAAGTAAGGTTGTATGCGTGTTAATATCAATTGTTTGGCATGTGTTTAATTGTGTCTAGAGAGGTTTGTTCTTTGTTCGCTACTAGTAGGTAGACGTTGTAATACAATGTTTGTTGATTGAGTTTGTTAGATTACTTGACTTGTTAAGATAGTGAGTGAAGTTGATAGACAAATCACTTATCATACAGTTTCCGTTGTCATATTGATGTATTAATTATTATTATGCTAATGTTAATAGTTTGGGTGGCTTGGATATATGGTGTAGTATACGGTTGTGATGTCATTGTTTGTATGTACGGATGGATGAAGGATTTGCGATTAATTGCTATTCATTAACATTACAGACATTATTGATGTTACAGTATTAGTATTAATTTCACATTAATACTTGAATTAATTAAATTTACGTAACAAATATTAGGAGTTTTCTAAAATAATATTCATTTTCCTCAACTGACCTTGGAATGATTAAGCTTCAAATTGTTAATGTTAATGGTGTAGTCAATATCATACGGAAGTCACAGAAGTTTGACACAAATGTAATGTGCATTAGAGAGTAGAGATGTCTGACTGTATGCTGCTGTTATTCCTTGAACGTAGTTTTTGTTACTGCTAGTTCATGATATTTAAGATTAAACCATATGGGGGGCGCTATACAGTTACGAGCAGCCAAAATACAGATCGTAAATTTAATGGATCGCAAGTTTTCGACTAATGGGTGCCATGCTATTACGCATTGTTCATTGCCTGCCTGATTGTGTTATTCTAAATATTTGTGATATACGATATACTATACGATCTATCGAATGTATCAATTGTTTTTATTGAAAAACTCATTTGTGAGTAGTTGAAGATAATTTACACAAAACCTTTCTTCGGCATTGGCTCAGTTTTTGTGAGAATATGCCAAAATTTCTCGCTCAGTTCGTGTCATTATAAGTTCATACTTATCAGACAACTGTATAGTCTTATTTTTCTTAAATATATTCTTGTAAACATTTTTAGGGGTAACTTTTCTTCCTACGTTATTTTTCTTTTACCAACACCTTGACTCGAAATGTGTTTGACTATCTTCTGGCATCTTATATTTTACGTTTAACATCTAAATTACTTCTGCAGTCGCATCAGTTAGTATATTTTTTTTGCCCGTATCTGATTATCCATTCTTTTTAATTTAGTCGGCGTTTTCCTATTTTCGCACTTTCTTTTCGAAGCATATTTTCTGGTGTTGGGAACTCACCATATCGAACAGAATCGGATCGCCCAGATTGTAGCAATCCAATATAGAACAGAGACTACAATAATATAAAACTTTATTATAAGACTGCGCTTCGACAACGTAAGAATGTTTGAAAACGGGAATTGTATTTGATCTATGTTGATTGATGACACCTTTGTAATTAGGTCCCACACGTAATAGAGTTTGATGGTAGTTTTTGTTTTTAACCTGACACGTTGTTTTTTATCAAAGTTTGGTAGAGTTATAAGCAGACTTTAGTATTATGAAAGTTATACAAACGCAAGTATTTTTACTTGTTCGAGTTACGAATAATTTAATCACGAGAACGTTTTCTTATGAAAACCAAAATGTTGGAGCGACGAGGCCCTCTTTGACGAATTTCTTCATGTTTAAGGTAAAATTATGGGAAAAAATATCGAAACGGAGAGTACGTTTCTGTATAACTGAAAATTAAATACAAAGGGCTTGATGCGTGAAAATTTAATATTCACAACTGGGTATATTCTCACTCATCTTACTTTGCGTAAACGACATGTCATGTTTGCCAAATCCAATACCCCCGGTAGCGGGGCGCTTCAAGATCATTTACAATACGTAGCCATTTTATTAGTAATTCAAAACTTAAAGATACAGGTGTTTATAAATGAGCTCAACATCAGCATTACGGATGTCTTCCCCAAATTGATAGCAATCCAACGAT